TTTAAACTGGTACATCAGATTCACAACGGTACCCTTTAAACTGGTATATCAGATTCACAACGGTACCCTTTAAAGCTTTGTCTGAGCATGATTGATTGAGATATTTTTATAAAATTGTTTAAAACTTATTGTGGGTTTTCTATAAAAGTTACCTGAGAGTTCTGTGAAATTGTTGCTGGAGAAATAATTATATGAATTGTGAGAATTAAGGACAATAGAAAAGTTATGATATCTTATGGTTCAAGGGTACCGTTGTGAATCAGGCATCCTCATGTTGAAATTACAATAAAAATCTCTTGAAGTCGGGCGAATTTGCCAGGAAATTTATAAAATTTAAAAATGTGTTCGCGCTAAAAAATTATAAAAACCTGAAACGGTAAACCCTGAATAAATTCCAAAGAATTTCTAACTGTTCTAAACCATTTAAACTCATTTTTAAACCTCCCCTCCACCCCCCNCTCATCCTCATCCCTCTTCCTCTACTCATCCACATCCCTCTTCCTCTACTCATCCTCATCCCTCTTCCTCTACTCATCCACATCCCTCTTCCTCTACTCATCCTCATCCCTCTTCCTCTACTCATCCACATCCCTCTTCCTCTACTCATCCTCATCCCTCTTCCTCTACTCATCCACATCCCTCTTCCTCTACTCATCCTCATCCCTCTTCCTCTACTCATCCACATCCCTCTTCCTCTACTCATCCTCATCCCTCTTACTCTCCTTATCCTGATCCCTCTTCTTCTTCTCATCCTCATCCCTCGTCACTTACTCATCCTCATCCATCTTCTCCTTCTAATCCACATTTCTATTTTCCTCATCCTTCTCATCCCTGTTCCACTTATCCTCTTCATCTTTATTCTCATCCTCATTCCTCTTCCTGCATTTAAATCCTCTTTTCACTTTTCCTCCATCTTTTATTTCCTCTTTTATTGTTTCTCTCATTTATTGTATTCCTTTCACAACTTTATTTTTCTTTTCCTTTTCCTACTTTCTCTTTTCCCAATTCCTTTTCCTCCATATTTTACTACAGTTTCATTCGTAGGATTTCCTAACATGGAAATGTCTCCAACGCCCCCCCCTCCCTTGGTTTCTTGACCCGTTAATTATAGAGATGAATTGATAGAAATACAGATATATACCAGTTTATTTGTTTTTCTTTTAATCCCTAGAGCTCCAGCAGAATTATTTATAATTTAAAAAGTTTAAGAGGTCAAATTAAATACTTTTCTTTCACATGTGTTCTACTTACAAATCTCTCCCATGAATAGCACATTTTTGACTTTTACCAATTACTGTACACGATAAACAACGCATGCTGTTTGATGTATATAACAGGTTAGAAAATTATGATTTTTAATTTTTAATTTCAATGTTTAATTATCAATTAAAATCGAAATTCATAGTAACAGCATTTTCATCAAATTCATAAATTAAAAATTCTCCTAATTATGCCCTTTATTATAACTATATACTTTAGAAGTACATTTATTGCTTCTAGATATAATTACATGATAAATAACGAGTGTGTAAAAGGAGAGGAAGTTGAGCAGGTCTTCTCCGGTTCCAGGGTCCGACACAACTCATTTGCGGATTTCATAATCCTCTTCCGGGGATTTCATATCCTCTACAATACCAATATTTAACGTTGAATTGCAAGACAGAGAGAGAGCCTGTTCTAAATGTAGCGCTCTCTCCTCTAGCCTGTCCTAGCCTTTTAATTTAATGCGGCAAGTGCGCGTAACTCCTTTAGGCAGCTGCCTTTATATGAAACTATAGAAAGTATTGCAGCGTTATACCACAATCACAAAAGATGAGACTGCAGAGACGACTGCATTGAATTCAGTCTCTTCCTTCTATGATTATTGTTTCCGAATAGTTTTGAACCTTTCGCATTCTTTTAAAAATTATTTATTGCTCCTTGAGAAGACTGTGTTCAAGACCAAATTTAACCTTGAGATTTTCAGTATGCAGAAAAGGGTTTGAAGTCGTCATTAAAGGCTCATCCTTTATGGGTAACACTATAATTTCTGACTTCATTACTTCAAAGCTAGCAAGGCATTTTGGCAAAAATTTTCAGTTTCAAACCTAAACAAAGGCCCCCCACCCCCCTGTAGGTGCAAGGGTTAAACAAACAGACCCCCTATTTAAGGCAGTAAGCCAGTATTTCTATATTGTCCCTCAAAAACCCCTCTTTGCTTGCTCTTACAACTATTTTCTCAGGTGTCATTTGCAGCATTTTCTTTCCAAAACTTTGAAGGATAATTTTTTCAAAAAAATTTCCGATGAAAAAAATTCATCTGAAAGGCTAAACTTTTACATATTTTGAAAAATGAATCATTTTTCGACCCATTTTGGAAAGTAATGGTTCCCCGTTAATAGCCTCTATTGGAAGGAAACCCTGTGCAGAACAAATTGTAGTTTTTAGGTTGACCATGCACCCCTGCTGATCTTAGGGACCACAAACCTGGTCCCCTAAAACCTCCATCCACACATATAGTCTCCTAAAACCCTCAAACCACATCCAAAAATATATAGTCTCCTACAACCCATTTCCAAACATATAGTCTCCTAAAACCCACAGACAAAAATACAGTCTCTAAACGGCCTATCCACAAATATATTCCTCTGAAACCCCCATTCACAATCACTAATAATCCCCTAAAACTCCCATCATCACATATAGTCTACTAAAACCCCCATAACACATGTATTCCAGTAAAAGCCCCATCCCCATTATCCCCATAGTCTCCAGAAATCCCCGTCCACACATCTGGTCTGCAAATTATATTCATCATTTATATTTGTCTCAAGCAAAATTACATTAAACGTTTACAATTTAATACTAATATTCTTTTCTCTGGTTATCGCATTTTATGATTGACAGGGTTTTGAAAAAAAAACAGGTGCAATACAAGACTTTTAGGCTTTTAGCATAAGTATAATTTAGTTATTCAGATGGTTTTCAGAAATGAAGTTTCTTGGTCCCAGTTCAGCGTTTTTCATTTTCTAAAAATATGGTCTGCAAAACCTTCATTCTAACATAATGTTCCAGAAACCCCCGATCTACGCAAACATAAAAACTTTTATACATACATTCTCCAAAATGCCCCCCCCCATACAAAAATCCCTTTTACTAAAAAAACAGTTCGTTCAACTATCCATGGTTTACGTCCTCCCCTTTGAACAAGAAAATGGATATGGACGCAAATCTTAAATATGTAATTAAGTCGGAGGCATCTTTTGTGCAGGGTGTCCCGATAAAAATTAAAACTCTTATTTTCAGTATATGATCTTCTCAAGATGTGGTCAACTTTTCTTGTTACATGTAGACTGTAGACTGTATAGAGTGATCAATTAACGGCCATAATTCAGATATTGTTACAATTGGCTCTGTCTCTGTCATGTTGAATTAGCAGTCAAAATAAAGAATCCCAAAAGCTGGCTGTTCTCAATTTATTTTTATAACTACAGTCCCTGTGTTAAAAATCGACATATATTCCTCATTTTTTGTTGGGACACCCTGTATAGTCCAAAATATTGTGACCAGCCGACATATTTGAAGACGTATAGTTTCAACTCTATTGAAAATGCATTAAAATATTCCAATTCAAACCTAGGAGTGTGCCAACAAGCATTATCATGCAAGACGAGGTTAAAAGTGTACTCTTAATGGGACTGCTCTGATATATGAAGNGGGGTGGGCTCAACACATGAAATCAGAGATATAACTGAAAGAGAGTAATCAAAACTAGAAGAGCAACGATGTCACAAAGTCACATCAGCAATGTCGCTTAAATTTGAACTTAATTCTCCGTCTTTCTTGTAGTTTGCAGTGACGACTTTAAGCTGCTTAAGATCTATCAGAATGAGGACAAATTTGTTCCTCTCATCTGATAGAATAAATTCTAAAGGAATTAAGTCTTTGTCACAAACTCTGATTTTCTAATCACTTTATCTTTGGAACCAAATGTTGTAGACCTGAGATATTTCAAACTATGAATTCTGCTTGATCAAATAACCTTATAGTTTGAAATATCAAAGGTTTATAACATCAGGTTTTAAAAATATAGGTGTTTGAATATTTGAGCTTGTGGCAAAGACTCAATTCCTTTACGGAACAAAATGAAATCCTAAACTTTTTGATTAATTTAAAAAGTGATACACATGAAAAATGTTAATGTTAAGATAATTAACAAGTTTTTATTAGACAATTGATCTATTTTAAACAACTCCCCCCCCCCCCACGGACAAAAACACTCATTCTCGACTAAGTATTTTTGATTTTAATTAACTAAACTTTAGATAAAGTATACAAGCTTTAAAAAAACTTTAAAAAGAAAAAAACGAAAGAAAAATATTTCGAATTTATTTTCCTATTCTCCAGTAAATGAAAATATATAAATCAAGATCATGGAGGCGTTTACAGGAACTGAACCATGGGGGGGGGGGGCTCGGCCCTCATAACCCCCCTTCTGTATACGCCTCTTTTCTTATCATAAAATATTTTGTTGAACTCGCTAACATACGTATATGAAGAATATACGTAAGAGTGACACATGGGAGATGGGGGGTACGTTAAACCCCTTCAATTCCAGATATCGCGGACGGACATACCGATTACCGACCCTTCCTCTGGTTTTAGCACACTATGACAGAACGTAGCGGTCATGATCAGCTAATTTACCCCCATCACAACCCCACCCACCCCACAAGTTAACTTTTTTCTGATTCTAAATCAATGTTAAAGACCCCTGCACTGCTTTAGACCCCCCAAAAAGAAAAGATAATTACTGGCTTTACTGACAAGAGCTTGAATACTTCTCCTTTTACAGTCACTAAATATTGACTCTGAAGGACTCTAATCTATTGAAAGATCGCGGTAAAATATCTGCTAATCATTCATTAAGCATTTCTTCTCCTTTCCGTCAAAATATTTTGTTATCAATCAATTAATCAGTTTCCAACTCCGTAAAATCAGTTTGAGTTTCAGCCGCGGCATTCAGTGCTCGGGAGCCAATACAAATGTGTTCACATGTGTATGTGCGTAAAAGAACAAAATCGAACATTTTTCTGGTTAAAGTGAATATACAAATATAATGCTGGACAGTTGGAGAAACCTCAAATTGTTATAAAGCGCGGGTTAAGTTCCAGTCTCTTCTCGGTTCGTGTTGTTCGGCGTAACCTACTGGAGAGAGATTAGACACCGGCTCTAGGAATTGTTCTTCTACCCGTCTCCTCTCATTCCAGTCGGACACACCGAGGGGAGAGGTTGCCGAAGATAGATTCATTTGTAAACATTTGGGAAAATACTCTCTAGCGTAAATAAACAAAGTAAAAAGTGTACAAAAATCCGGTTTTACTGGGAACAAGTGTACGTTGCATTAAAGCGGAGAACTCTTAAGTGTAAACATCTTGCTAAGAATTTAAAAACTTTAAAGGACCTTGCAAGGTCGAATTCAGATCAAGCTGAAGCGGAGAATACGAGTGAAAATTATAGTTATTGTTAAGTTGTTCAAATCAATTTTGATGAGAAATTTTTCATCACAGAGCAATGAGGAAAACAACGCGAAAATACAGTAGTGAGAGGAAAAATTCTACATGTGATGAAACGAATGAAAAGATATGAGTAAGTATATCACTTGTTTTCATGCCTTTCACATATTCGATAGAAACAAAACGTGATTTTACGTCTTAGTGTAGTGTTTTGTCGAGAAATTCTCAAATTTCTTATCATTTGGACATTGTTTGTTCAGTGCTGTTTCATAACTTCCGAAATCTTTTTTTTATTTAATCATTTTTCCTAAAATTAAACCATAAAGAATATTTTTAAATCGAAGGGAGTCATAAATTACTCGATACAACACAACCTTTGAGCTACACAGCGACCTTTTATGAGACATTATATAACTTAACTAAAATTCACACAAAAGACCTTTTCGCTTGATTTTACACCTATCAAAGCAAAGATTGAAATCAGAAATTTTTGGCTTGTTGTAAGCCTAATTTTTAGCTAATTGGGTTTAATCCAGGGGTTCCAAGTTTTAACAAGTTATTTCTTTTCAACTCTCCCTCAGGGGGTAAATGTTTTTTTTTATTTGTCCTTTATTGATCAAAAAACTTGTAATTGATTCTGAACAATAGGGGGGGGGGGGGTAACTTTATCGTCAAAATTGATCTTTAGAGGTAAATTGAAGTTCTTTAAAAGAGTTAACATTTTATTGAATTAGTTTCAGATTGGAATTTTAGTTAAAATTATAAATTTATTTTGACATTTCATTTCTTTCAGGAGTTTAAGCATTGCCGCTTTTATCACAACACTTCTACTTGCCATGAGCGGATCTTTTTGGGTTGAAGGGACACCTACCAGTGGGGTTAGGGGCCAGGCCCCTAGCCTCTACAAGACCCCCGACTGTCGAGAAATGGCCGGACATTTTTATGTAAAAAATAAGTGCGGAGGCATTCTTACAATTTCTTCCAAAAATGAGTTCATTTTACAGAAGTCCGGACTCTACAGTGGTCATCCCTTAGGTACTTTTTAACTTTAAAATTCTGCGCTTTCAACTGATTTCAACCTCAGGGCTAAAATCTTTAAATTAATAAAGGGTTGGTTTTGAATTCGACAAAAAAGTGTCTAATTTGGAGTATAATCGAGCATAATAATACCTTTTACTTCATGCTTACTGATATCGTCTGTAAAACTTGCAAATCAACTTTTTGTACTCAACACCTTGAGTTTTTGGTAAAATATGGATATTTTCAATTTATGATTTATTCCATTTTTTTAATCACGCCGGGATTTGTTTCATACTGTTGACTGTACAAAGTTAATTGGGTATGACTTCTTTGTAAATATAATTGAGCACAGTCAAAGAAGTTCTGTTTCGGATCCGGGTTCAAGCCAACTTTTATTCTTCTCCTCAATGGATTGCTGTAAAAAGTTTTATTTTATTTAACCAAAATAGTTTCTTTTGAAGACACTCCTTTCCAGGATGTATTTAATATCACATTTACCGAGGTTTCAACGCCGCTCAAAAACTAACCAATTTTGCAAGGATCACGGGAGGAGAGATCGAGAAAGAATTTTCTTTTACTTTTTTTTAAATCTGCAAAATTGAATCATGTTGTTCCGTAAAAAGTTGAAGATCAATGTGTTTGATATTGTAAACGTGCAATTATTCGTGTTTTTGCTCAATTTAATCCTCAAGCTTATTAGAACGTCAATTTTTAGATTAAACATTAATTTTGATAAGATCAGAGCTAGGTTTAGTAAAAGAACACGCTAGGAAGAGAACGATTTACCCGGTTTTCAACTTAAGTTTTTATATTCTAATTCAGCCACAACAATTGTCGATATTAGTATTTACTGCCTCTAAAATGCATCTTGCCTTGCGGGGAAACAATCCAGTTGTTAATCAGTGATTTATTTCATGGATTTATCAAGAGTTTAATTTTAAAATTAAATTTAAGTCTCTATTGTTCTCACTATTATACTACCCTTAATTCGATCAATTTTATGTAAAGAAATTCTTTTATTTCTTCAAATTGAGTGGATTGGTAGATTTTTTCACAAATTATTCTCGCGGATTTTTGCAAATTATTTTGCGGCATATCTCATGCTGATATCTGCCAAAACTGACCAAAAATGCTTATTTCGTGTTTAAAATGGGTGGATTGGCTCGGTTATCTAAAATTACTTTAGATCTTTCCCCCCATGTTGATGCATTTTTTCTTCTATTCATAATTTGGGGCAAACGGGAACATTTTTTTGGGGGCTTCTAAAATTAAAACTGTCCAAGTATATAATTTAAGAGTGCCAAAAGATGATAAAACCTGAGCTGCAAGTTGGCTCACATCTGAGTGGGGTCACAGTTATTTGACAGTTATGGAAAAAACGAATAGTCCGACAAATTATTTTAAACCTCGGGGGAACGCCCTGAATATCATGCGGTGAATAAGCTCATGCAAATGGGAGGATTTGTGATACTTGTGAGTTGGCTCAGGTCCCCACTTTGTTTAAATATCGTCACCACGAACATGTTACTAGCCGCCTTAATTTAAATGATCTGATATTTCAGCTGAGATGGTTAAAGAGACCTGTGCTAGCAGCCACGCCTCCTGGCGGAGCTCTGGTCCCGCCCACTTTGTGAGATATAGGCACGCCAGCTCAAACAAGTACATCTGCTTCAATAAGAACGGAAAAGTTAAAGCTGTGGTAAGTTAACTCCATATTTTTGTCAATATTAAACCCCTCCCCCTGGGGATATTCCTGTTTGCTTTTCCCCCATTGTATAAAGGGTTTTTAAACATCGAAACCAAAATTATTTTACTATTTTTTTCTTGCTAAACACTGGGTTACTTTTATCCTTGCGTATTTTAGAACAAACCTTTGAACGATCATGTTTAAGTACATGCAAATTTAATTCAATTCACTTCTTTCCTCGCAACGGCATATTTCTCTTGTCAAAACGCGGTGTGGGGGGCCAGAAATATTACACATTTCTNTCGAGATATTTAAATGAGCCCAGCTCTAAAAACTGACGAATGTACAAAAAAACATGTTCTTTATTTACCCAACAAGAAACCCTAGTTAACCAAACCACTTTATTGGAATTATAAGAAAAATAATTTTTCTAATCTTAATTATCATAATTATTATCGATGTGTAGAATTATTAAGTGTTCCAATCCTCCATTAGAACATTAGAACGGAAACCATTTAAACTGCGTAAAGAAACGTTGCCCCCCCCCCCATCCCCCCACCCCCCCCCCCCCATACACACATAAGGCGTAAAAATCCCCGTATGAAACATAATAATCGTCCATGTAGAAAATTAAGTTGAAAAACAGGCAAGATTTTGATCAATAATAAATATGCACATTGTCGTAGGCGCAATTGAGACTTTGAAAGGGGGGGGGGATAGGTTCGTTTTGTTACATTTATTAATTGGTTTTAGTATCTAGGATATTTCTAATGTATCCATGCGATATTTCTATTTTCTTAAATCTGAAAATAATTTTTTGGCTCATGATCAAAATAGATTCTAAAAACTAGTATTTATTTTGGGGAAAAATGTTAAAATCAATATTTAAATTTAAACTTTGAAATTTCTAAATCTTTTCTCTTTTCTAATTTTTTTCTATTTGTCGATCATCCTCTGTCGGAATGAAAACCAATCTGGATTTAAAGATTATTCATTTGTTTAACAATTTTCATCTTAGTTTTCCTGGGGATAATGGGGCTCAGAGAAACACGGATATAATGAGAGAAAATGATGTGGTTTGATGATAGATTGATTTCTATTGATTTCTTGTTTTGTTTTGTGGTTATTTCAGTTATTCGCCATCAGCGTGATTGAATAAGTTTCTTTAATTTTTATTTCAAGTTTTCTGATTGAAATTTATTTTGAATTGTGGTTTCATTTGGATCGGTTTGTTTATTAAGTTATTCAACGTCTTCCGGTTCTTATATAATCCTTGACAGGTGTTGGGGGAGGCGGGGGGGGGGGTCAATTAGGGTCAACCCCACCCTGGACCTGACCCCCTGTCAACATCTATTGTTTCTTATTGTTAGAACATACCGGTTTCAAGTTTAGTTGTCGGCCCACCCATTAAACACATACAGGGGTCAACCTAGGACTAGAAAACAAGATTTCTGGGCAAAATCGGGATATTTTTGAAATTTATAAAACCTAGATCTTAGGGTGGATATTTGACTTAAAACCTAGATCTTAGGTTGTATATTTGACTAAAAACCTAGATCTTAGGTTGGATATTTGACCAGTAACCTAGATCTTAGGTTGGATATTTGACCATATACCTAGATCTTAGGTCATGTCATTGTCCGTCAATTTGCCATAGGTGGTAATTCATTATACTGTAATCCAACACCTGTCGTGTACACTGTACAGGGTGTACTTTGTTCAAGATTTTTTTTAATGTTATTAACTGTAGGCAAATTGTCAGGGTGGTTCTATCAAATTGTACAGGGTGGTTCTATAAAAAAAACTAAAAAAACTTTATTGACTTGTAAAGTTTATACTTTTTGAAGATTTTACTCCCCCCACTCCCCCTGAATTATTGTAACACCCTCCGTTAATACCTAAGGGTACCCAAGGTATTTTTATGTCATGTACTTCAAATACTGGTTTAAACCTTTACACCTAAACTTGGTAGTTTAGAACACAATATACAAAGTAAACATACAAACACTAAATATACACAAACATATTTTCTACCCCTCACACTCTGTATACACCCCAGAGGAATTTTTCACACAATTTTCTTTATTTTCCCCAAAAAATCACTTTTATCCCCAAATTCAGCGAATAAATCCCTAAATCTTACATTGGGGGGGGGGGGGGATAATCAAGAAAATATATACCCTGTTAAACTTAGTAACCCCTGGTCAAATATACTGTGTATATTATGTGACCCATTGAGATCTTAGGTTGGATATTTGACCATATACCTAGATCTTAGGTTGGATATTTGACCATATACCTAGATCTTAGGGTGGATTTTTGAAAAAAAAACCCTGAATTTTGATATGAGAACCAAAATTTCAATCTTGAAACGCAAATTTAAGCAAAAACCTAGAGATATAAAATTTGAGGATACATTTGAAAGCTTGCTGAGAAATGGAAAGGATTATGGGGATCCCTGGTGTTTAGTTTAATTTTGTTAATCAGTAATTTCCGGTTCATTTTCTATCATAGTTGCAATCTTCACGGGGNGGGGGGGGTTCTAGACAAAACCCCTATATTTGTTTTAAATGTTTAAAGATTTTGGAATTGTATGAGATGTTTAGTTTATTAGGGAGGTGCCTACCCTCGCCACCCTTTACTCAGAAACGTTGAACATGTGTGTTCACTGTTAAACATTTCAATGACCAGAAAGAAAATGTTTTTTTAATCTCACTCCAAGCCTGGTTACTCTCTAAATAGATTTATGCGTATTAATTCTTATTTTTATAACATTAAATCTCCTAAGATAGAAATCAAATTATTAGTTTTAAGCATTTGTTCATGATGAGGGTAAGCTTTAAAAGGTACCGAGACAGGGCGGTTCTTGAAATAAGATTATAAATATTCAAATATAATTCCGTCACCTGGACTCGATCGAGGATATTTTGTAGAAAAGAGTGTCGGATGAGGAATTAGCCTGGCGCCGCCATAATGGTTTCAAATCTACCACGCGTGATTGAGATTTAGATTTGAACGGCGCAGAGCACAGTATCGCTTCTCATTGGGTTGCAATCTAACCACGGCCCGTCCATGGAAAAAATACATCAAAATCAAGATTTAAAAAAATGCGCAAAATTGCGAGATTGCCACAAATCTTTTTTTTGTGCGTTAAAATTGGAATCCGTCAATTTGGTAAATCAAAGAAGTTACTTAAATCTTGTCTATTGGATTTCCTGCTAAATAGTGTTAAGGTACGAAACTATGAAACTAATTAAACTTTGAACAGAATCCATCTCATCTATATTTACGCGTGGAGAATCCTATATGATTTATCAAATTGTTGGCTTAGTGTTACATGACGATAATAATTACATTATGTTACATAAATTATTTCCAAGCACAGTATATATGAATAGCACATAATGGGGGGTTGGGGTGGGGTGGGGTGGGGGTG